GCCTACGTATAGCTAATTAGATTAATTACTGCAACAATTTCGTTTTATCGTATCCTAAGTTTATTTTTCTTGTAATAAGATGTGTTATAGCCATGAAATAACAACAAATTAGGTTTTTCGCTGTTGTCTCCCCGAGACATATACGTATTCTATCCTTTTCTGGAAAAACACTGTCTCTTAGTAAACAACTATGTCTTTACACACGACCTACTTCGTTTGTTATTATTCTAACGACAATATACGACAATTGACACGCAGTGCAGGTGATCAGACTTCAGTTTTCCGTAAAACCGGGGAATGGTTCCCAACTACGCGGATTTCCATCTACGCGGACAGTCGACGTCTGATACACAGTTAAAGAAATGCAAATTCTGTTAGAGTCTTACTTTCTTATTGTATCCCTGCAATGACGATTATTTTATTATATTTACGATAGTTTATTATAACTTTTATCACTTCTAGAATAAATAATTATTAGTTGCTTAGAATATAAGCATTGTGTCATCCAAGAATTCCTTGTTTCGATTAATTTGTCATTAATTAGTTTTCATTATTTTTGGTTTTTATTAAACACTAATGTACAACAATCTTTGTAAATAATACTCAATATGAGTTTCTAAGTGGTTAATTTACGAAGAGACCATCATCCGAAGAAAACGAGACGGAATATAAGTTATAAGTATGGTCATACTCTTACCTCGAACCGCATTTCTCATACATAACTTTCCCATCATTTCTGGGAAAAATGACAATTACATTTCTCGTTCCTTAGGATGCGTGGAATCATGCTGTAAAAAAATTTTTCCAGTATGCCAAAATTGGCCTATCTTTAATTATGTATTTAGCGCGTTGTACAAGGAATTGCGTTACATACGTAGGTATATACATATATGAAAACATTAGTCGCGATATCTGGCGCGTTATAGGAATTCGCGTTACACAGGAGTCTACCGTATTGATGCAGATATGGTGTTCCATGAACACATTTATAAAATGTAATCCAACACTAGCAGCACTCATGCAGCCCCGAACTTACACAGAATATAAAATACAGAGCCATCTGAGCCGAAGATGTTAAATTTACTTTGATCTGTAAAAATTACGTGATTGCAGTAATCCATGCCTGTGTTTCTCTAAGTTTTCACGAATTCTAATCTCTTCTTCCTATTTTGTTCATTGATGAAATATTTCCTGCATGATACTCTGCCGTGATATCCGTGTTTACGTAAACAATTCCTAACTTAACTATTTGAAATATTGGCATTTATAAAATTATTAAACTCATCCGCGATTTTGAACGCACTTAGTTTAGGAATTTTTTTTTTAAATACAACGGACAAGGTTGTATTGATTAAGTTTTCACGGACGTCTGCTTCTAGTATTTTTTTGCACTGCTTTACGTGATCCATATCGATCGATTATGCCTTGGCTAGTAGATCGTGGTTTACTGACGATTCGAGAAATTTCCGAAAGACTTTTACATTGATTATGTAAGTCTAGGAGTATCTTCCTCTCTTCCACAGTAGTTTCTACGCTTTTTCGACCCATTATCTTCTTACGATTATTATTAATATTATTTGATTATATATCAATTATAGAATTTTCTTGAATATTTTCAAAAATTATGCGAATAACTAGGTTCTTTTTATGTGAAATTTATTCTACACATTTATAGAAATGTGTATAAATTATTTGTATTAAGAAAGTTTATTAATGAACCGAGTTATACAAAGTTTCCTCTGGAATTATTCGCCGTACGAATACTTTTTACACTCACTGCATTTATTTGTCATTCCAAGTTTGTTTAAATGTAATGAAACTGATTTTGTGTTGTATGCTTTGGATTTTGTGCAATTCATGTTACTATTTCATCAATATTAATTTTTATTGGTCCGCCACTTCGTTTATATTCCAAGTTGAAACCTACACTACTGAATCTTTTAATCCATTTTTAAATAGTACGTTTATTAATAGTATCATCATCTCTACACGCACAAATTATTTTTCTTGTTTCCTTCACACTTTTCTTCTTCCGGAAATAAAGCAGTATTATATGCCGAAAATGAATACATAGTGCGTTCGCTCAACTTTAGGACTTTGCTCGAACAAAATTGAGTGGGAACTAACTGATGCCATAGACTATACAGTTCCAAGACCAAACGTAACCTGATATGTTTATCCCTTGCAACTGATATAAGCAACAGTTTGAAATAATACGTCTCGAAACTCTTACGCCGTTAAGATGAATGAATTTATTACTTAACTTAATACATCACGAAATTCTACAGTTAAAATTATACAGTTTGCAGAAAAGTACGATCACAGAGTTGATTTTTTAATAATATAAGTGAATTTTGTATAATATAGACGATTATACAGAGTATTGATACAAAAACTTTTTTAAATGAATAGTCTAAATAATTTATGTTACAATCAAGAATTTAAGGCTCTCTTGGCCCGGTTCTATACATTTGTTACTATGTAAGGCTCCCTGGTGTAAGCAGTGTTCGCTAGAAATTCTATCTCAATATTTCACCAGCAGTGCAGCTAGCTTCTTCAGAGTCAAATGGCACATTGATCAATTAAACAATAAGATCTATGATTGGTTAGATAATAATTCGTGACATAAGCACAGTTAATATATATAGTTTCGAAATTTCCAGACACACGACAGTATTAGTGTCACTTGATCCCTGAGGAAGTTAGCTGCAATGCTGGCGAAACATTGGAATAGAATTCCTAATGAACGCGGCTTACATCCGGAAGCCTTAAATAGTAACAAACCAAGTACATATACACAGGGTATTTTCGGCTTTTCTCGACAAATTGCAGGAGCATAATCTACAAGTGAAAATAAGAAAAAAATGTTATATGAAGTTCGGTTGCGCACGCATTATTACAAAATTATAAGCAAATATTGAATGCAATATGAAATGTTACACGATAACTGAAAGCCAATTGCTATGAGTGATAGTAATTGTCAATCATATTGAATCGTCTCAAGACACGAAACAGCATGTACATAAATACAAATAAAAAAAAAAAACATGGTCAATTTTTCATATTCTGATACATATACATATGTTGTGTTTCATAGTACGTTCAATACTTGCTTCTACATTCATAGTAAATCGTTTATAGCCGAGCTTCATACATATAACATTTTCTTCTTATTTTCACTTGTAGATTATGTTCTTACAGCTTTAACGTTTCCAAGAAATTAGAAAAACTAGTAAATTAGATAAGCAAATGGTCAGGATAAGCAATCAGGTACATAGAACTATATGTATACGTTATTAACGCGGTCGATATGTGAAAAATGTGCGATCCGTATATATAAGTCACGGAGTAGATCATGAAAAGGTTAAGTTCACATGAAATCCATAGCAGTAACCAAAACATTCGTGTCATTGACTACCGTTTAGTACAATGGCTTCATTGCTTACATATAACAGGTATTGATAGAATCAGTTTCCGCACTCACATTTCAACTACGTTGAATTCAGATAAGCAAAATAGAAGTTGTATATTGTACTATTTAAAAGAAGGAAGATGCAGATAAGGATTTAATTAAGTGAAAAATATTTATAACATTCAAGATTAAAAACAAGGAACAAGAAAAATATAATTAAAGGAAAATAAAAATATTTTTTAGATATACGTATGTTTATATTCATGAAAAAATACAAAAAATCTATTAAACAGCAGCAATAAAACCTTAGCATGCACAATATTGTAAGCTTGAATGAATAGTATAATGTATAAAGCGACTCTAATTTAGCAAAATGTTGAATATCTGTACGTAAAGTATGTTTCATCATAATTTGTAAGTCTATAGTAAGAGTCTATAGTCAGAATCTACTACGAACAGTGTTCATGAATTAGAAAATATTTTAACTATCGATGTGTTATGTATTGTCTAGATACATAACACAAAATAAATTATTTAAACGAAAATGCTTTTCCATTTCAATAAATTACAGCGGCACATTAACCAAAATTTAAATATAATAGATTTTCTTTATAACAATTAACAATTCTAGTAACACAATTATCAGTGTATCTATTAATTTTGCAAATGAATTTTTATTGATACCTTATTATAAAATGTATGATTCACCACAGAAGTGCACTCACCATGCGATAATCCCGCGTTGAGACAAATAAATAGTAGCAAGGTGGTAATACGCGACATTTTGAGAGAGAGTATTTCAAATCACAAAATTAGGATTAAATATAAAAATATTACACAGAAATTCAGGTACGTATTAATTATCTGATTTATAAACAAACATTCAAACACTTCTCTCCAATATGAAAGGAGGAACTGCAAGCTGCAGACTGTTAGGTATAGTCATACGTTGGTATGACTCAAAAGATGTCAGCACTATCGCTTACGTCAGTCGATTATTGCCGAAGAAAACCGAATATTCAATTGGAAATTTAGCGGCTCATTTATATTCATCTGCAATTCGGGTGCAAATTGATTATCATTAATTTATTCAAAAAATCCATAGGCATGTTTTCATGCAATTAAAATATATTTACAACATTAAAAATAATAAATAAACAAATACATTTATGTATTTATGTGCTTATGATTTACATTGCCCACATACTTATAAAGCAAATTTTATTTAAAACATTTTGTACTCTTTTATGCGGTAATATAGTTAGTGCATATAGAAACTACAATTAGTAATATCTTTTATTTGAAAAATGTTTAAGGAATGGTATTAATTAACGCATTAACAAAAGTATTAATAAATTACTAAATACCAAATAGAAACCCTTTAGAAAAGTCACCTAAAGCTGAAAGTTAATTGTTATTCATGATATATTTTCGTTAATTATATCCCCAACAATTTTACCCATTTCTTTGTCATACTGAAATACAAAAGAATGATCATAACCATGCTTACAAAGTTCTGCATTTATATAAGGATGTTTAGATTTCATATCATTATAATATTTGACTGGAGTCCACCCATCACAGTTGCCATAATAAAACCATAATTTTTCAGAATATTTTGAAATTATAGCATCATCTCGCTCTTTTACTAATCTCATTTCTTCATCTGCTAGCTTCAATATTCTGTTGATACTATGAGGATTTAAAATTTGAAGCATTGATTTAGTATACTTTGCAGGAATTCCACAGAATGGTCCTAATACACTGAAGATACAACCTTGTAAACTGTTTGGAAGGCATGAAAAAATCCAACTAAGAAATGTTAGGAGGAATATAATATGTGATACCTAGAAAAGAATTATATTTCATTTATGTTAATCATTAAAATATTATATTAACGTAACTATAAAAAACATACAATTGTAGTGAAAAACCATCCATTTTTACTTGCAGCCATACGTTCTATCGTTGGAAACAACAGATAACATTTTGTTACTTTTTTAGCAATGGAATCTTCTTTTAACATATTTAAGATTATCCAACATCCTATTGAATGACCTATAAGATGCAGCCTTGCATCTTCTGGTACATACTTCTTTATGAAATCCGTCTATAATTAAATTCAGTAATTAAATCACAGTTTTTTCACAGAACAATAAAATCTAACATGTAGAAAAAACCTTATGTTGCACTTGTGCTATTAAACCATAATGTTCGTTCCATGCTGAATCACTTGGCATGGTAAATGCCAAATTACTCGGTGGTTGTATATGTCCTGCATGTGCAACCACCCAAATAGGTACTTCAGTAGGAAGAAGTCTTGATTTTATAGTGTTTACAAATCCTTCATAAAGTTCAGGAACGCTAGGATTACCAGTAATAACAATCACTATATCTTTTTTAGCATACTGCGAAAGACCTTCTTCTACCCAGCAACCTTCTGTAATCACTTTGGTAGGTACACCATTCCATTTTAACATAGCACGTTGCATGTTGCTTTGTGCTATAATCAGAGTTTTAACATATTTATTATATCATGATTAATAATGTTAGAGGTATAAATATAGGTAGCATTAAATACTAGTGCATATAACTTTCTATGAGAAAAATTTGACTTTCTTTTGTACATACAACAAAATATGTTACATTTACAAATAAATGTTACGTTTAATGGTTCCATTTGTAGAAAATTAAATAAAAAGTTTAAGATAACGTATGTACCTGCAGAACCTATCGAAGGAACTGTTACGTAAATGATATTAAACAGAATGGTACTCTTATATATGCGTTACAAATTTGCTTTATAACATTCATACACACATTGTGATTACAGAAAAATTCATATTTTCATTTTTGATAGATAATATTATGAAAATACAATTTTAATTGATTTGTATTATAAAATAGATAATATATAACCTCTAATCGTGATGTGTTGAATTGAACTGATAGCTCAGTTGCGAGAGCGTTAAAGTGGACTTTAAAAGCTTCTAGTTCGATCCTCCCCGCGTTGGGGCATTCAAATTTGTATTATATAATAAACATTATAAACGAAACATTTAACATTATACATTTTATAGCAA